TAATACTCAGTAAGCCAGAGACACAGATTTCTGTCCTTGTTCAGCTGATGAGAACTGAACCATTGCTAAATTCCGAATAGTGCCCTAGCCATTGATGTTTCTATTTTTGAAATGCATTTCCTGTAGTTAAGTTATTGTTGTGCACAGTATCTTCTCGGAGAGTGATATTTTACAGTTCAGAGGTGTGAATGGGGTGAGAGAGAGAACCTTATAAATTGTGGAAGTAGTAAGCAAAATAAACTGCTCTCTATACATGGCATACATTCTGCTTTTATTATTTCCCACAGAGGAGAAGGACTTCTGAAAACTACTCAAGATTTATTTCATCAAGCAGAGGTAATATATTTTTAACAAAGTAGGAGTTAGGCACTCTGAGTACAGAACACATTGGAAGACAGGCTGAGAGTGTGGGGTTGTTCAGCCTGGACAAGTGAAGGCTCCAGGGAGACCTTAGAGCAGCCTTCCAGTACCTAAAGAGGGCCTCTGTGAAAGCTAGAGAGGGACTTTTCACAAGAACACGTAGGGATATTAGGAAGAAGTTCTCGTGAGGGTGGTGGGACCCTGGCACAGGTTGCCCAGTGAAATTGTGGCTGCCCCATCCCTGGAAGTGTTTGAGGCCAGGCTGGATGGGGCTTTGAGCAACCTGGTCTTATCTAGTGGGAAGGTGTCCCTGCCCATGGCAGGGGGGTTGGAACTAGATGGTCTTTAAGGTTCCTTCCAACCCAAACTATTCTGTGATTCTATGAACTTAACTCTCTGATTCCTTACACGTAAGTACAGCGTGCCATGAATTGACTGGCAAGTGTAGATTTTAAGCAGCCTAACTGGTACATACTTTCTGAAAACTAGCTTTTAGTTATTCCAGTAGCAGTGTAAGACAGCATTCATTAAACTGAGATTCCAGTTAGGAGTAGGAATAGCAAACTGGCATTATGGCAGATAGAGTGGACTTGCATGCATTAGTAGTATTGTGTCACTTAGCTCGGTCCCTGATAGCGTTGATGGATATTCCATCCTAGTCTGAGCAGCAGTATTTTTAGGGGAAAGAAAGAAGATGTAAAAGTTCGAAGAATACAAAAAAGACAAGGGGACAAGTGCAGGAATGTGGTATGATATTTCCAAGGTACATGCCTGTATTTAACAGGAGGCTGGTTACCTTTGTCAGGACAATAAGCAAATGGCAGGTGTCATCTACCCACAAAACTCTTGTGAGCTGCTACAGTGCAAAAAATAATTGGAAGCCAGGTTTTTTAATATGTAAAGGAAAGCACTTTAAACTTTGCTTATCTGGGAGAATGGCAATTAGTGTAGCTTTTTATTTCAGAAGTCACCACAAACTGCCGAGTTGTTAATTATAAATGTATACAACTATTACAGATATTTCGGACTCCTTTTTACTTTATAGCACGCTATTGAAACAACAAAGGAAAAGAGCCTCATCTTCTATTGTGGTTCATTTTGTTCCATGCTTTCTCCCGATTTCAGATTTTTGCTACAGAGGGCACAAAGCTTGCTTCAGCTCTTCATGCCTTTTCTGATCAGGTGAGGTATGACCTCTAAACCAGCTGTTCAGCTTTCAGTACTTGTAATACTGCCTAAAAGCTGGTTGTGCTGTCTTCTCCATTAACTTAATATCAGAGTCTTTAACACAGTGGTTTTGTCTTCCTGAAACACATTTCAGGTACGTGTTGATGATAAACCTCTGCTTCTATTGGAGGCCGAAAAACTGATCTCTATGTGCAAGCAGCTCCAGATAACAGCTAAAGCTTCTGTTCAGGGTAAAAGTGCTACATTTACAAAGGTGAGCTAAAAATGATATATATTCCTGACCTAACTGGTTTTGAAATATAGTAACCTACTAATTTATGTTCCTGTTAAAATATGAAACAGTCCATGACAAGTGAACTTCTTGGATTGACAGAGGACTATAAAAATTAATAAGCACAAAATTTTATGCTGTGTGCAAGCATTTTTCTGCTATGCAGTATGTCATTGCTGCTGTTACTTCTGTAGAAGAGTTTACTTCAGCTTGAAGTACTGTTTTGCACTTGGCAGGATACGAGAAGCTGATGTGCGAAGTATAGAGGAAGAACAGTAAGAACTGCTACTTTTGCTGAAAATGTTTTGTCTGTGAGACATCCCTCACTGATAACTGTAATCCAAACCATTTACCACACCATCTTGTCTCAGGAGGGAGTTTTCTTCAACATGGGTGCTGTTGTTTTGTAGCTTTTTCTTCTCCCCCTTTACCAGAGAAGGGCTTCAGTAAAGTTTATCCTAACCTGACCCCCATCATTTGTGCTGAGTTTGGTGGGAGGCAAAATATGGTACACTGGCACCCAACATATATAGTTATCCACTAGAACTTCATTCAGAGAAATATGAGCTGTAGTTGTGTAACTCGCTAAGAAAGGACTTCAGTGTTCAAAGTATGAATGAAGGTAATTTGTATTTCCACTTCTGTAATAAATATTGTTATGCTTGCTTCTCAGAAAGTGGAGTCTACCCTAGACTACCCAGAGTTTATTCTGATATTATTCATGTATTTGTTATAAGTAAATATGTATACAGCTGCCATGTAAGTTTAAGCATTGCTACCACAAGAAGCAGATCCACAAACCTTAGCAAGGAATAGAGGTCAGGCTTTCTGAAGAACTTCAAGTATCCCTGAGCAACAGTATGATCAATGTGAGCAAGACCATTTTCTGTGCACCTGGATGTTTGTTTCCAATGAGCTATCGAAAAGATGTTTCAATTTTACAGCAGGGAATCAGGGCTACTGCTTGGTTTGGTTTACACTCTCTAGCTAAACTGAGTGGGAACCCCAGTCTGTTTATGCAGGGTAATGTATCACTACAGAGGGTTAATAGGCTATCAAATTAATGTTTGTCAAGGGCCCAGACTTGTGACCTGTGCGGAGTGTTAGACTTGAGGCATAAACTCAAATGCTTTAAGATTTAGCTGACCTTTACTGTAACTCCTAAGGTAAGGCTTACATGATGCATGGCTTTCTAAATCATAGAACTGACAGAACATAAAACTAAAGAAAAACATGAAGAATTGTGACAAATTATACTTAGATGGTAAGAGCTTCTTTCCAAGGCACTTACATTACTGTTTAATATAATATTATTATTAGTTCCTTCTCCTGGGATGTGTGTCATTCCCTTCTACTTCCTAGCTCAAGTCTTGGGTTAACAGAAGGGATGCTGTTGCTTTACACATACTATTTAAATTCGAAAAGGGTAGGCAAAACCTTTTGATTAGAAGGGACAAATATTACCTAGTCAAGCTTGAAATAGATGATCATCTCATGCATTTAAAAAATTGCCTAGTAAAAGTAATGAGTGTCTTACTCTACTCTTACTTGTTTTGTTTAGGTTGATGCATGCATTCTGAAAACAAGGAATGTGATGACTCTGTTATGCCAACTTCTTCCACTTAGCTGCAAATTACTGAGAAAGGTGAGTACTTGGTTAACCTTCAGTGTTTTCAATTTCAGGTTTTGGGGTTTTTGTTGTTGCTGTTTTTTGTTTCTTTAAAATTTTTTTTCTTTTTCTTTTTCTTTTTTTTTTTTTGTTAATCTGTGCAGAATAAAGCAGGAAATGGCTGCCTTAAACCTGCGCCACCATGGAGAGAAGACAGAATACGGATTGGTACAAATGCACATACACCAGAAAGGAGAGCTGAGACATTTGGCATCAAATCTCTAGAAAACCATCTAACAAGCATGACATTTTTAGAGAGCAAGTAATTAGAGCACTTAGAAATGCAGGAACTCCCATCTGAAAATAACACTTGCTGAATTTTCAATATTGCTTTCATTTGTGGAAAGTCAAATCAGGTTAATTTGAATTAAAACTGTTGACCTTTGTCACATCTAATAGATGTCCCTTTACTTGGCAATTACAACACCAACTGGTCTAATTGTTACATATTTTTGTAATGTGAATGCCTTTCCTATGCTCACTATTGATACTGGTTTTGTAATTAATGCTTATGAATGTCTTAATGGATGTTTCAACCCAAAGATGCTGCTAATAGACATTTTAAGTAAAGAATCTTGTGCTGCATATGCTATATGTAACACTGCTGTTGAAGTCTGTATACTCATCTCTGGCCTATTTCAGTCTATATATTTGGTAAAGCAGAATCAGGAATACAGTCTGAAGGGCTGTGGCCTAAAGCACTGAAATCTTACCTTAGTTGTGAGTTATACCTGCAATGAAGTAGTTCTAGGAAAAAATAAAAAAGCCAAACTCTTTCAATAGCTGCATCACTGAATTTTAATCTTGTTGAAATGATTCATATTTCCAAAAGTGTGTTTCTAAGTGATTAAGTCTTGCCTCAAACCCTTTTTCTTTAACCCTCTTTATTTGTAGATGGCAGTTCTTGTTCCCTGTTTCATTAAAACTTCCTGAGCATAATTTGAATTTTATGTAGAATCACAGAATTATTATGTAGACTTTACATTATGCCATTTAAAATTTAATAAAATAGATACTGATTATGGCAAACTTCTGTACAAAGGGCAGCATTTGACTTTGGGATACCATGAAAATACAACCTGGTGTGAAATACATATTTTCCAGTTTATCTGCTCTTTGTACACAGGCTTCCATTGCATTCTTGTTTTCAGTTCACCTCTGTCAAACTCCATCTTGTATTAGTGTAGCTAAATTAAGTGATGGCTAAATCTTATAATTTTTCTGTATGCATTATGCTTGCACAGAGCAGAAGCAAAGCTGCCTGTGGAACATAAATACTCTCCAACATATCCTGTGCTTATTTAAAAACTTGTAGTGCTAGAATTCGGAGAAAAAACAGAAAGCAAATCTTAATATACAAACTATTTGAACTGGTTTATTCTTATATGAATCAAGCATTTAAGTTCCACTTCTATACACAGGCACTAGGCCTTTCAATACTGTTAAAGTTACAGCGTACAATAAAAGTAGCTTATGTAGTATCAAATGTGGGTGATAACTGTATTATTAATTTCATGAAGAAGAATTAAGACGTTTCAACAAAACTTCCTCGTACTCCTTCTGCGTCAGAAGTCCTTGAGTTATACTCTTGCTTTCTTCAAATTTGGGTAGAACCACTGCAATGTATCCCTCGGTTGATGGCTAAAAAGCAATGCTGAAGTTAGCAGTGAAATAAAAGTTAGACAATACAAAGGAAGAAAGTGTCTTACCTTTTCTTGCAGAATAGTGGGATTGCTAAGAATATTTTCATTCACTTCTATCAGTCGCCCTCGTATACAACTGCAAAAGAGTTTAGATTCAGTAGAAGCGCAAGGTGGGTCACAGTAAGAAGAGAAAGAGAAAAACCTTACCTATAAATGGTGTATTCCTCGCCATCTGTTGAAGATATCCTGCACAGAGGGGCAAGTTCTGTTAAAAACTGAGCTCCCTGGGTTTGAAAAAGAAACAAACATATATATACTTTTAATTACACGGGTCTTATTAAAGGATTACCAGCAGCCACGGAAGTTTGTAAGCTTCCCAGAACAAAGCAAGGCATCTTGATAGTTACAAGTCATAGCAAGTACACTGCTGTGCTTCCCTGCAGAAGGGAAGACAACTTAGTTACGTACACAAATTAAAGACAAGTTTGTTAAGAGCTTATGAATTAAGTCATAATTAAATTTCTTGTGGAATAACAGACTTGTTGGTTTTGGATATTAAAATCAGGGGAGAGAGGAGAAAAACATCACCGTTAATTTCAATATAACCAGGTTAAGCTACACATATTTGAAAACCCACCATGAAACACACTAAACTAGCCCCGAGGACTGTTAGAGAAAAACTGTAGTCTCCAAATCCTTGCCATTTTGGTGGAAATAAATTTTCACCTTTTCAGGCATGTTAAAGTGCCTCTGTACATTATGAAAAACAAAATTATTAGACATGACTGTTAGCTTTGGTTTGAGCCCCCCTGGAAGCTACCTGTGCTGTAGGAGCTCTGTTAGGGGCCCTATCTGGGACAGTTAAACAGGCACCTCTGGAAAAAGTCTAAATTCTTCAACCATGGAGGGGCTGTTTTAAAACAAAATGTAATGGTAACTTTGGTAAATTCCAGACAGTGTGAGAGATTAAAAGGAAAACTAACCAAACCAAAAAGCCATACCCTTTTTGACTTCCCAGAGACTTTATTCTGGAGTCTGCTACAGTTGGCACTGATTTGGTAATTAATGCTTTTAATTGTTTTTCCACTTTGAAGAAGAGGATGGGCTTCTGCCAAGGTGATGACACAGATTCTGCAAAAGAGAATGTAATTATTATGCTGTACTTGAGAGAAGCTATGCTCTTTCATGCAAGCTCCACACCATTCTCTGCCTCTACCGGTGGGATTTGAAATTACACTGACTGCTTCATCTGGGTTCCTCCTCCAAAATCCTCGAAGGACTTTTAAGTGTTGAGAAAGCTGTTGTCTCCCTTCACTCCTTATAGCACAATATTCTCCTCTCTCCAGTTTAGCGAGAAAATTAAGCTGATAGCTCAGCCTACTGTGGTGGGAGCCACAGGACAGGACCAGGCTCAGGGTGGAAGCAAGGACAGACAGGGCTGGGGGACAGCATGAGAATCACTCAGGGTAACTTAGAACACAGTTTATCAGAGCTAACAAAGGAGAACGGAGGGTAATTGTTGGCTGTAGATCAGAGAAAAATTTTAATTCTTCCCTTACAAAAACATCAGATATAGGATCAAATGGGACTTGCTCTCTTCAGGGCATCTTTCCTGACATCTGCTGTACTAAACTGAATGACAGTTGCATTCTGACCTAACACAACCCCCACAGAAGATGCTTTATTCCAAGATACCAGACTGGATCATCAAAAGCTGTACACTTCTTAGTTAAACAGAACCACAGCTTTTTATTTAAAACAGCCACAGCTGTTCTATCCTGTGTTACAACCCATGGGAGCATACTTGGTTCACTTTGCTGATGGCTGAAGAAGATACTGAAGATGATCAAGTAAAGCACAGTATGCTTTTGTCAGAAAATGTAACCCAAGGCAATGTTTCCTCAGAACAGCTAAAGACCATTATTGGTGAACAGTTACAGCAGATGTATCCTTTGGTGATCTGGGCTTTAGTTAACCTGCTGCTTGTGTTTTATCTTTTTCTAAACGTGGGTTGTTGCCATGAAACTGGAGATGTTGAGACAAGCCCAGCCGTAAAGGCTCAGCCCACGTTCATCCCTGGGCTAGAACTGTGTTTAATGCACAAACCTGGAGAGCTCAGAACTTGCCAGTAAACGAACAGAGGTGAAGCTATTCTGTTTTAAGAAGAGTTTGAAACCTAGAGCAAGGACCAGAACTGACAGAACAGTAACTGTAGAGAAAACCACAGCACAGAACCAGGTCTTTCTCTGCAGATGCTGCAGCCATCTCCGTGCACTCCTCTTTGCAAGTTCTTGCTGCGCAGCTTCCCCACAAGAGGGAGCTGGGTCCTGATGAATGCTTTCAGCTACCTCCTCCTGACCCCAGCCACCTTCCGAGGGGAAGATGACAAACCATGTATTTGAGCTGTCACCTATTAGAGCTGAGACCTGGCAAAACAAAAAATCAACAGGAGCAGGAAATCCCCTGGGAACGACCGACACCTCATTGTCCCTCAACACATGAGCGACTGGCACTGACAGTTTTTGCACAGACAGTAGTTAAGTTCTGTCCTTCCCTTAGGGGCCCAACACCCCAGAAACGCTCACAATGCCACCACCCACCCTGCACACAGGACAGGCTTCAGCAGCAGCAGGGCAGGAGCTGGGGAAGGGCAGGTATGTTGTTAGAGCCCACACCAGGTACAGGGTTGATTTATTCCAAATGACTGGATATCCAGCTACATCGCAGTGGAAACAGTGTTTGACACTTTGCTTCCTACCTTGCATTCACTGTCTGTAGCATACAAACGTACAATTAAAAGCAATTAAGTTGTGTACAGAAAAAGGTGAATGTTCAAATTGAGGAAATTAGTTTCCTAGAAACCAAGTTACACACTCTACTAAACGTCGTTACAGAGAAGCCTTGGAATGTTGCATGTCTGTGACTGAGGACGATGCACCGGGACC